GCATCCAAAGTAGGGGCACAAGGGTGGTGAAAGGCCTTGAGGTGAAGCCGTGTGAGGAGCAGCTGAGATCACCTGGAGGAGACTGAGGGGAGACCTCACTGCAGTGTGCGGGTTCCTCCGGAGGGGCTGTGCAAGGACAGGCACTGATCTCTTCTCTCTGGTGAACACTGACAGGACCCAAGGGAATGGCCTGAAACAGTGTCAGGGGAGGCTTAGGTTGGATACCAGAAAAGGGTTCTTCACCAAAGGGTGGTTGGGCACTGGAACGGGCTCCCCAGGGAAGTGGTAACAGCACCAAGCCTGACAGAGTGCACGAAGCATTTGGAAAACGCTCGCAGAGATATGGTGTAATACTTGGGGCTGCCCTGTGTCGGGCCAGGAGCAGCACTTGGATGATCCTTGCGGTCCCTTCCAGCTCAGGATATCCTGTGATACTGTGGGAGTCTGTGATTTGCCCTGACCCGGCTGTCCCGCGGAGGGGCCCTGCAGGGCACTCCCGCTGTCCCGGCTCCTGTCCCGGCCCCTGTCCCGGCTCCTGTCCCTGTTCCTGTCTCGGCTCCTGTCCCGGTGCCTCTCCCGGCTCCTGTCCCGGCTCCTGTCCCTGTTCCTGTCCCGGTTCCTGTCCCGGCTCCTGTCCCGGCTCCTGTCCCGGCCCCTGTCCCTGTTCCTGTCCCTGTTCCTGTCCCGGCTCCTGTCCCTGTCCCCGTCCCGGCTCCTGTCCCCGCTCCAGCCCGTGACGCCACCGCGCCGCGCCGCTGCTCTGGAAACGCGTTTCCCTCCCCGCGCGGGCTGCTGGGAGTCCGGGAAGGGCCGCCGGGGGAGAAGATGGCGGCGCAGGGAAGGGCCCGGGCGGGCGGCGGCGAGGAGGAGCGGGAGTCCGGGCGCTCGGAGACGGAGCTGCTGCTGCACCCGGAGCTGCTCTCGGAGGAATTCCTGCGGCTCACCCTGGAGCAGGTGCGTCCGGGGAGCCGGGCCGGCCGGAGCGCGGCCCCTGAGGCGGGGCGAGGAGAGTCACGGCGCTCAGGGAAAAGCCGGCACCAAGTCGGTGCTCTGGACGCCACGAACTTGCAGAGAGGAGACCCTGGCGCGGGAGATGTCTCTGTGTTTGCAAAGGGGCTGTGTTTGAACACCGAGGCTGCTAAAGAGCCATTTGTCCAAATCCAGTGTCTGCATTCACTAAAACTGCCTGTGGAAGCATGAGCTTTACACTGTTAAACTTGTCACGTCCATATCCAGTGTATYCTGCTCTAGGTGACYCTGCCTTGGCAGGTCGGTYGGACTAGAAGATYTCCAGAAGTCCCTTCCAACCCTAATAATTCAGTGCTTCTGTGAATTAAAGAAATGCAGCCTGTGTAATATAGTTAAGCTAATGCTTAAAAACATAAACATTATGTTTATTAATGCTTGATAATTGAAGAAAATTTGAGTTTGAAAGTGAGTTATAAACAGTTCAGGACCATACAAAGTTTTACTTGATGCTGTTTGGAATACTAGTTACTGCCTTGGCTGAAAATTTCAGGTGCATGGAACAGTAGTGATSAAAATTTCAGGGTTTTGTATGAATTACAAGAATTTTCATATGCTTTTGTCCATGGAGCCTGTATGAACAGGTTTCAGGCCAACATCAGAAGTCATGAGTGTTGCCAGCACTGGTAGTGGCAGCAGCTTGACCTGCTCTCGGTGACCTCGATTTGTAGGATGTTAGTGGAGTTTTTTTCTCATTCCATAAATTTGGCATGAGGTACCAAGAAATGTTCACAACCTGATACATGATTAGAAAGAAAACWGGTGTTCTAACTGATGGTTCCTAAAATCACAGAATAGTTAGGGTTGGAAGATCTGGAGATCATCTTGTTCAGCTCCCCTGCCAAGGGAGACTCAGCAAGAGCAGGTGACACAGGAACACATCCAAGTGGGTTTTGGATGTCTCCAGAGAGGGAGACTCCACAACATCCTGGGGCAGCCTGTTCAAGTGTTCTGCCATCCTCAGTGTAAGGAAGTTCTTCCTCATGTTGGAATGAAACTTATCTCATTATTCCCTGGGAACTGGGGAAGAAAGCACAGCTCAACATCTATAGGTTTGACTTGCATTACATTCTAGTTGTTTGTTTTCTAGAAGTGTGAAGAAGAGCTCTGGTATTGTAGTTGGRTTCAGGGAAGTGTGTTTAAGAGTGCATGAAAACATCAGTCATCAACAGTATGTCTATAGTAACTTTTTCCTTTTTTTGGCTGCTGTTTTGCTTGGGARAACTTGCACAATTTTGGATAGGGAGGGGCTGCAGGATTGACCTATGTGGGTAAAGATGCAGAACTGCCCAGTGCTGGTCGCATCTGGATCCATGTGTCTCTCACAGTGGCAAAAGCAGCCCATTACACACCAGAATTTAAAGCAGAGTTGCTCATGACAGCTGTGCTCAAATGCACTTAAAGAGCATCAGACCCTGGGGGCAGGAGATTCCAGAGGACCCACAGGAGGAGGCACATGAGGAGACACATAAAGAGTTGTGCTTGCAGGTGGTGGAAAAAGAAACCACTATGCCCTGACCAAAACATCCTGTATTTTCCATTGCCTCACTGAAGGGAGGGATTGAGTGTAATCCACAGAGAAGACAAAGGAAGTTGACAGTAGACAGGTAGGAGCCAGGCTGTTGTTGGCACTGGGCAGTTCATGGCCTCTCCAAACTGATCACCCCAGKCACCCCCTCACTTTGAAACCCTGACCCAATACAGTACTTCACTGTGGATTTTGAAATAAGAAATGACGCTACTCAGATGGTTGAACATTGAATTTGTCATAATAATGACAACTTTTTTTTCCTGTTCCCCACAGAAAAATATATTAGTCGAAAATGATGTAAAGATGGACAAAGATGGRCTCACTGATCTCTACGTTCAGCATGCCATTCCCCTGCCTCAGCGTGACTTGCCAAAAAGTAGATGGGGGAAAATGATGGAAAAGAAAAGACAGCAAAATKATTTGAAAAGTGAGAATAAAAGGTAATTTAGCTTTATGGGGCCAGACTTGGACAATTTAGGACAATGCRTTTAGTTTAATACTTGTTTACCTGATTAATGATCTTGGACAACTTTTGGACATTGYTACGCTTTACAGAGAATGCCTGTGTCAGAAGTGCTAGATTCTACTACTGCAAAAATAGAAAAAGGGGAAGATAATTTGTTTTTGTCATCTAAATGTTATTAATGTTATCTAGTTTGTAGTGTGTCTTTTAATAGAACTGTAAAATGTTTTRGGTTTGGAAGGGACCTTTGATGGACACTAGTTCATTCTTCCTGCACTGAGCAGGGACTTCTTCAACTCTCTCTGGTTGTTCAGAACCTTGCCCAATCTGACATTGAGTGTTTTTAGGGATGGGACATCTGCCACTTGTTTGGGTAACCTGTTTCGGTGTTTCATCATCCTCCTTGTAAGAAACATCTTCCTTATATCTAATCTGAATCACCCCTCTTGTATTTCAAGCTGTTACCCCTTGTGCTCTCACTACAGACCCATCTTTCTTATATGTCCCCTATAAGTACTGAAAGGCTGCAGTAAGGTCTTCCTGGAATCTTCTCTCMTCCAGGATGAGCAACCCAACTCTCTGCAGCCTTTCCTTACTATCATTTTTATGACCCTCTGGAGCTGCTCCAASAGGTCCATGTCTTTCCTGTGCTGAGGGCTCTAGATCTGGATACAGCACTCCAGGTGGGGTCTCATTAGAGCAGAGCAGGGGGACAGAATCACTTCCCTTGACCTGCTGGCCATGCTCCTTTGGAGACAGTTGGCTTTCCGGAATGCAAGCACATGTTGCTGGCTCTGGTCCAGCCTCTCATCCACCCATGTACCCAAGTCCTTTTTTCAGGGCTGCTYTCAATCCCTTCAYCTCCAGTYTGTMTTGATCCAGGGAATTCACATTGTTCCTTCATCCCCCAGCATGTGTTTATAATGAGTTAGTGGTACATTTCAAAGTACTTTATAATGAAGAAAAAAAAATTGTTTCACTGTGTAATTGCTAAGCAATAGTCATGTTTCCAGTGTTTAAGGGAAGTACTAAAAGCATGTTTAACTATGCTTGCACCTGGACAARGGTGTCCTACTTTAGAGTGAGGGGTGCATGCTGGAGCAGTTTTGTGTGTCTGTTTCAAAGCTAACATTTGCTTTCTGAAATAAATATTCTGCTTCTTTTAAAATCCTTTGTATTTTCTCAGAAAGCAGAATCTTCCTCAAAAGCTTGCTTTACTGAATCTCTTCTCTCAACCTGTCCCCTGCTCAAGACTTTGACTTTAACATGTGATATGCATGAGCAGTGTTCTGATATAAGTTCAGCAGTAAATCCTAAGGAAAGGTGGATGGAAATTCCTGTAGTTTTTCAGTATTACAACTTGTTGATGTAGGAATCTCAGAGTATATATGTAGTTTCTGAAGTGTCATCATATCTGAAGACTCACTGCAAATGCTCAGTCTCCAGGAGTATTGTACTGTGCATGCCTAGAGTGTGGTCTTGGTAGGGCTCATCATTTCTGTTCAGTCACCTGAGAGGCCACTTCAGTGTCTCCTGAGAACTGGTAATGTTCTGATAATACTGAGTCCAGGGTAGACCATTGTACTGACCAGTGTGAGATCTTCACAGTAAAGGTGAACAGGCAAATATTTGGGATAATCAGGGTGTGGAGCTAAAACCTACACTTCTCTCTGGTTTTAGGTGGCTACCTTAAGTACTAGACTAAGTTAAACAAAATTAGGAGCATTTTTCATTAAATTGTCCTAGTGATTGGAAGTTGCCCAGAGGCCATCTTGGCTACATGAGTAATCATGTGAGTGGAAACCCAGATTGCTCATGTCATGAAGCTTTTGGTTCCTGTTGCAAATCTTGTATTCTTTATTATGCACTACAAAGTAAACAACAGTAAAAAACAATCCCAAAATGGTTTGTTTCAGTACCAGTGTCCTTCCTCAGCAGAATGTTGGCAGGTATGAGAGTCCCACTCTGAAGCTCTTGAACTGCCTGTACTTGATATAAAGTGAACATCACRCTCAGGGTTCTGTGTTGTTCTGTGAGACATGTATGTAAAAATTGGATGTGACAGTTCTTAATGGGACAGCATCCAAATTCTTCTGGAACTTTACCAAAGTGCTTCTCCGGGAACGTTATCTCTATTGTGGCATGTGGTCATTTGTACAAGTGCTACAATTCTAAAATTCTGTTTAGAAGAGGTAACAATCCTATAATTGTAGTTAGTTTCTAATTCGCCACTGATAACCAAWCTGAATATATTTTAAAAAACCCACCTCCACAGGAAAAACAGACTTATTTTGTTAAGATAGATGACTGAAAAAAATCTGACTAAGGGCTGACCTTTTTCTTGCTTTATGAGCTGTGACTAGTTTCATTTTTTTAAAGRAGCCCCTGAATTAAGAATTTAAAGAATTCCCCTGTTTTGATAGAAACTGTGCAAGTGGTTTCTTCATTTATGAGGCTTATCAGCAGCTACTAATCTAATGTTGTTCCAGGTGCAACTGATCAAGTCTCTGCCTGTGGCTTTTTTTAAGTCTGTTGAGATATCARACATCAATATTGTCAGATTTATTAATTGCAAGTTAATGGACATATTAATTTGTTGGAAACACTGTATTCTACTTTTACTCATCGTTTAATATAAGATGGTTGAACASTCAGTGTATACTAAAAACTAAAGTTTCTAAACTGGAATATTATATACCTTAATAGTGGTTTGGGTTTTTTATTCGTTAAATCTGCAGTTTTCAAACACTTTCTCTTTGTCATTCTTGAGCATTTCTTTTTTRAAACTCTGAATTCCTATAATGTGGGTTATGTTAACTTTCTACTTTATTTTTTTTGCAGTCAGGGTGTTTTCTGATAATACTGTTTTGGTATTAGCTTGATAGTATTCCTTTTCATTAATCAATGGTTACTAAACTGGCCAGCTCTGACTACACACAGGCTTAAAGGCACAAACTATTTTAAAAAAAGTCATTAAATCTGCTTAGAGTTCCTGTTCAAAAACAACTTATTTAAAAAACAGATGTGCTTTTTTTGCGCAATGTTTTTGTTCCTTGACTAACAATATTTTGGACTTAACATTATGTTTTTAAATGAGATTGGAAACAGTGAAAATTAGAAGTATCAGAATATTAGATGCTTTTCTTGTAGGTAAGGCAGCACACACTTTCTCAAATACTCATCTTTTGAAATACTTAAGACCTACTATCTCTGTCATTGCTCTGGAATAACTACAATGGTAAAAGCATTTGGTTGTACAGCTGTATTRTTTGCTCACACAACTCTCTTTGCTGAGGAACGCTGGTCCTCACACAAACTCCTGTCCCTTTATATTTTGGAAATGACTTTAATTGCTTTTTATTTTTATTTAAGTATATGTGTCTATAAGTATATTTATTTTATTTAAGTTTGGAGCATGCCAGAGTTTAATATTAGTGTTTTGGGATATATATTAACTTTAGACAAGAAAAAATTCATTTTTGCTACTCATGTTATGGGTATGGTATTTTTCAATCTAGCCTATGTTTCTGAGACTTCTATGGTTTATATTTTCAGCATTACAACAGTGGAAGGCTTAAGGAAACGGCCCTTAATTGTATTTGATGGGAATTCAACAAGCACAAGCATAAAGGTGAAAAAGACCGAGAATGGAGCTGCTGACCGCCTGAAGCCTCCTCCAGCTGGAAGCACCACTAACACAGTTAGAAGATTATCAGTTCCTTCAAATGCCTCAACATACATTTCTGCCTCCAGTTTGTCAGAGGACGCTAAACTGGGAATAAAGAATAATGAGGCTAAACAGAACAATATTTCAAAGACTAACAGCAGTATGTTGACGAATCTGAAGGTGTACCCKTTGTCTCCAATAGCAGGAACTACTGTTGTGAAGTTAAAGAGATCTGTTCCAAAAGAGGAACCTGATTTGCCGGTATGTKTKTG